AAAATCACTGCAATACGTTTTTAGAAGCCTTTAAACATAGAAGCAATTTCTTTTGGAAGCATCCAGTGTTTTGTAAACAGTCAGTGATGAAAATCCTCTCTCCTGTCACACAGGAGCCAGTTTCAGAAGGACCAGTTCCTTGGGTCAGTAGAAGCAGTGTAACGTTTGTGGCAGAGCAGGTCTCTCATCATCCTCCAAGTAAGTTGACAATAACTTTGCTAATAGAGATGGCATCTGGATAGGAGCAACAGTAAAGTTAGCTCTTTGTTTAATTATTGGATTTACGTTTTCTTGCCAAATTTAAAAGCTGAAGGTTTTCTCTATAAACTATTTTTGTGAGAAACAAATTGCAAATTCTGTTGCCACGCTAAGTGTGAAGCACTTTGAGATACTTTCTGATAAATGAATTTGGAAATGATAGTATTAATGCCTTTTAATATATATTTTTAATATCTTTTTCTTCAGTTTCAGCATTTTACGCAGAGTGTTTTAGCAAGAGGATACAGTTCAATGCTCACATATGGACCAAGTCAAAATTCTTAGGAATGTCTATTGGGGTTCATAACATAGGGCAAGGTACGTCTGTGTAAGTTTAACAACAGAAGAGAAATTTACATTCTGCAACTAGAATTTTTACAGAAATTATTTAAAGTCATCCTATTGAACATTAGGAATGTTTGAAGTTATGTAACTAGAGCTTTTGTATGTAGGAATCGGAGATTCCTTCTGCACACTTGGTGGGCTGAAATCACTTAGGGCTCAGTTTTTTGTGTAAATACAGCCGCCCCTGCCCTCTCTAGAAGCTAGGTGTTCTCAGCACTGATGGAGAATAAGGCTCTTCACCTTTCCTTTTTATGGTACCTGTTTTTAACAAAGTGTTTCAGGAGATCATTATAAAATTTTTGCAGGGGTTTTGCTTAGTGTTTTTTAAATCTATTTTTATTTTTCTTTAATAGGGTGCGTCACATGCCTAGATTACGATGAACACTATATTTTGACCTTTCCCAATGGTTATGGAAGGCAAGTAAATGCTCTATTTGGTATTTTAATTTTTAATGCCTGGTAATATTTCATGCTTAATATGTCGGTTAAGAGGTTATGAATACATACATATATTTATAATTGCAGGTCTATTCTCACTGTGCCATGGATAGAACTTGGTGGAGAATGCAGTATTAATTGCTCAAAGACAGGTTATAACGCTTCCATCGTCTTCCACACAAAACCATTTTATGGAGGAAAGAAGCACAGAATTACAGCTGAAATTTTGTAAGCAGGTTTCTTCAGTTAATCTCACTTTTTCTCTGCTTAAATGCCGGCTGTGCTTTTTCAAGACTGTCAGGAGTGTAAAATACTGAAACAACACTACTCAATAACTTAGCTCACGACTGCCTGCCACAGGATGCCATTTTAAACTGTGAGAGGAAACCTGCACAGGCCCACGTCCTGCCTTGTCCTCCTTTAAAACGGTCTCAGCTGGTGACCAAAAGGAACTTAAATTTTCACTGCTGAGTTATCCAAAATGCCTTCATCATTACCCTTCCTAAAAATAAAAATACTGAATAAAAATACCTAAAACTACCTTGTAACACTGCTGCGTTCATAGCATGTCAGTTAAAGTGCTGCTGCAGACTTTTACCTATTTATCTGTACCTGTGGTTTGGTGGATTTTGGTTAGACCCTGTGCACATGCCCACAGCAGAGAATTCAGTGGAGATTCTCATCTTAGCTGGAGATCTGCTGCAATGTCAGTAAGTGGATGTTGACAAAATGAGGTCCATAACTAGGTTTTAAATCGCTTCTGGACACACATTGATAGATGTCATTTGTGAACTAGTGTCCGTGTTTCCCAGTAGTCTGGGGAAGAAGCTTTGAGTTTGTGAATTTTTTTTAAGTTTAAACACATCATTCTAAATCTGTTTTGAAAGCCAGTAACTAGTTTCCTAGACTCTAAACAGATACAGCCCTAGGGCAAGACCTGTCTTATCCTGGAACAGCACTTCCTTTTAACATTTACCCAGTTGAACTAATTCATACAAAACTTCTCACTTGTGAACAGAACCCTCATCTTTTCTGTATTGGTGATGGACATTTTAAGGGCTGATATAAAACAGACTTTACAGCAACTGGGATAAAGTTTTGATCCTTTAGGGTCTTTCAGTTGCTGTAGTACAACTGAGAAATGACTGTTTCTTTCTGTTTAGTTCTCCTAATGACAAGAAACCCTTCTGCTCAATTGAAGGAGAATGGAATGGTGTCATGTACGCAAAATACACAACAGGGGTAAAGCAGCTTTTTTTTCTTCTTTTTGCTTTTCACCAGAAATGGAAGATTGTGCTTAAATTGTATGTTGGTGCTTTTTTTGTGCTGTGTTTTTTTGTTGTAGTTTTTTTGTTTTTTTAAAAAAAAAACCACATTAATAGTCAGGAACTCCTATGAAGCGGCACAAGATCACAAGAATGCTTAATTTGGGCTAGAATTTACTTTGTTAATTTATTCTTAAGGTAACTTGATTTTTATACCAGGAGAAGAATCTAAAGAATTATATTTTTTCATGTATCTCCTGACAACCACTGTACTAGAGTGTGAGGGTATAGAAATTTTAAGTCTAGCTAAAGAACTTATTTTTATTTTTTTTTAAATCTCACTCTCTAGGAGAATGCTGTCTTTATAGATACCAAGAAAATGCCTACAATTAAGAAGAAGGTAAGGAAATTGGAGGACCAAGAAGACTTTGAGTCTCGCTGGTAAGAACTTTAGTTAAACGGGCAAATTAACTTTTTTTTCCCTTAGTTAAGATGCAAGTTTGCAGTACAGAGTCTGACTAATGATACGTGTAATCCATTCACTGCATGGATGAACTGTGCTCCTCAGTAGCCTGTGCTGCAGGACAGAACCAAGGTACAAGCAGGCTGGGGTTTTAACAGGGAAGAGGAGAACGTAGTTCTTGATCCCATCCTCAAAGGGACCAACTTTACCAGGGAGGTGCAGAGAGCTTCACTACGGCCTCCTCATTCCTGGCGACAGATGGTGCCGTTGTGGTTTAATATATATTGGGATTTTTTTCTGCCCTTTCAATAAGTGAGACTGACCTTAATTCAAACAAATACGGATGACTTAATAGCCAGTAATATGTTTCTACAACCCTGTAGCACTTTGCTTTTATAAAGCAGTCTCCATTCCCATTTCTTTTTTTAAGCTTATGGAAAGATGTAACCTACAACTTGAAAATTAGAGACATCGATGCAGCCACAGCTGCAAAGCATGCGCTTGAAGAAAGACAAAGAGCCGAAGCCAGAGCCAGAAAGGAGAATGAGACCTCATGGGAAACAAGGGTGAGCTTTATTTGTACAGTGTCAGTGCCCTCTAACCTGTAGCGTTTGTTCCTTTCCAGCTTAGTCATAAAAAGCTTACATCCGATTATTCCCTTTTTTCTAGTTATTCCATGAAGATGGAGAATGCTGGGTTTATGATGAGCCACTATTGAAACGACTTGCTGCCAGCAAACATTAAGTGGGTTATAAAACCAGAACACATTCAAGCCTTGGCTTAGCAAAGTTTACATCTGATACCAAGATAGTCATCAGTTATCACGTACGTACCGTCTGGAGAACCTGACCCCTCCAACTACAGTGGTTCCTATCTCAGGGATACTGGACTTACTGATGCAGATAAGCAATTACACGAAACAAGAAACGTCTTGGCTGTGCAGTAACTGACACTGGACTCTGCTATACAGGTAGTGTATTCCGGCTTCCAAGGCAGGCTGTTGGAGCCCTGTCACTGATGCTTCTAAAGCACGGAGGATCTGGGCCGAGAAGCAGATACACTTTGTATAACCACTGTGAAGGCCATGGCATTGGTATCAGTTGCATAATATTCCTGGGTCCTACGTATTTAAAAACCAAGAAACAAAATGCAAGACGTCATTTAAATCTAGCTAATGTTTGCAATGTGTAAATATGAGGATTCCTTTGATGGGACAATTTGTTAGAAAACGCTATGTCAATGTTATCTTCCACCTGTATGATAATCAATTCTTTTGGCATTTCAGTGTCTTGCCCAAAATAACTTTGTTATTTTGAGATTAAAATGTAACCATAGATAATTCCACTCAGTGCATCTTAAAGCTTCATAAAATAGATTTTTCAAACTTCTATTATGGACTTTTTATTTATTTCATAATAAACCTTTGCAGCAAGACTGTTTTTTTCAGCTGAGTGATGATCAATTGTTTTATGTGAAATGTATTAGTGGTATTTTTTCCCACTGGAATCCTTGCTGCTAAACCTACTTTGTAAAGTAGTTAGTTGATGAACTAGCGAAAGGAGCAGAATTTGCAGCACCCACGGTAGAATTTTTATGGAATCTACATCCAGCCCTGCTTCTATACTAGCCCACCAGCGCTTCAGGAATCTTTGCATTTCTGTGCTTCTGCTTGAAATTAAATAATGGTTGAGAAAGTAAGTAGCTATATGTAGCAATCAAACTGGTTTTCTTTCCACAGTTAAGTCTAGCTTTTATTCTATTTCATCTCAATTTTGTCTATGTTGCACATACAGGAAAACAGGATGGGGGAAGCAGTGTGAGATTGAAACTGTAGGCTTTTTTTTTTTCTTTCCTACCCACCCTGTGCCTCCTCCAGAACTGTGGAGCTTGAGCCTTTGAGGAGCTGTAACTGCTATTAAGCAACTGCTCCCGCACTGCAGGAATGACACACAAAACAAGGCACAGCCCACCACTTCAGACAGCTGGAGAGGAGAATGTGGCATCCTTCTGGTGGTGAGGGAAACTCCTTTCACTCCAGCTGGAAGTCAAGGCTGTGCCTATTCTTAATGAATTTGGGAGATTAACGAGAAAGGTTGGCTGGAAACTTACTTGAGGAAAGCTTCCTCTGTATCTGAAGGGATGTCTTCATCCCAGCTAACACTACAGCCCTGTTTTTATTAAAACAGGTTTGCAATGTTTATGTTGCAGAAAGCACCTGTATTACACATCAGTGCAGGGCAAGATGTTGATTTTATTTTAATATTTTATGGTAAGGGAGAACATTCAGAGTTGATGTGTAAGCTTTGATGTCCTTGATGGAAGTAACGTTAGTCATCAAAGATGATGGGGGCAAGAAAATAAGATGAGGTATTTCACCAGATGAAGAATTCTGTACTTCTGAGACAGCTGTAACCTCTGCGTCCCCTTCATGTTTTCCATATCCAACCACCTGGAAAAAAGTTACCAAAAAAGAAATTTGACTCTAAGCTTCTAGAATTTGGATCTCATTCAGCGTTCATCTGCCCTGACAATTAAATATAAATACTTAAAAGCACTTCAAACAACCATAATGATTGGAAATGTAGAAGATATGAGCAGTAATGTGGATAACCACCACATGAAAAGTTCAGAGGACAGAGCTCTTTTACTACACCCTGACTGGACTCTGGGTTATCAAAGTTGGGCATTTCAGAAGTTGGCAACATGGAGCTGACAAACACTCACGTGTACGCTGAGCACTTTCTTCTTGTTGCTTCTGTGAGCTTGGAACCAGGTGACCAGGTCTGATTTTGTAACAGACTTCAGAGCTTCAATCTGAAACCCACAGGAATGAGGTTCAAGTAGCAAAGGGGAGATTCACATAATTTTAAACATAAAAAATGGTTTCTCTACAAACTATATCCCTTCAGATAAAAGACTGTTTTTAAAATAGCATGTAGTTTTAGAATCAGTGTGTTATGAGTAGCATAAATCCCTGCATTCATGCTTTGCATTTAAAACTGCTGCAAAAAACGAGGTGTGAGTGTTCCATTTGGCATCACTTAACCACAAGGAGGGACCACCAACCTCACGGGCCAGCCTGTCAAAGAGATACTGCTGTGTCACGACTTCATTCCAGTTCCTGTCTACTTCTTCTCCAAGATGGGAGTCTTCACATTCTTTAAGTTTTATCAACGCTGTAACCTACATTTGAAAAAGACAAAACAATTAGTTCTAATTTAAAACTACCTTAATTTACCATCACATTCACTGAAGTTGAAAAAAAAACCAAAACAACCCAAAAAACCTCAAATTACATTAACGAAGTAGTTCACTGCTTTCAAACTTAACTGTAAGTGGCCAGAGAGCCAATGTTTAGAGAATGACTGCAGAATGGAGCAAGAGGCAGGATTTAAAAGTGAGTCCTTTGTCCAGAAAACCTCAGAAATATGCCAGATAGATGGAACCAAATCCTCCAGTTCTGGTGTCATTTAGCAGTTCAAGGCAGAACTTCTCAAAATCAAGTTTTACCTGGGTGCTAAAAGCATCTTCAGTTAAATGCTTGATCTTCTCTTCAAAGCAAGAAAGAAACTCCTCTATTTTCTTGTCAACCAATTCAGAACTAAAAGAGAGTTAAGTAATTAAATTAGGCAGGAAAAAGAAAAAAAAACCAATACTGAGGGGTAAAGTAGCAGAACAGCCCCCAAATGATGAGGGAATGTTTGGGACAGGCTCACTTCCCTTCCCCCTTGAAAAGCTCACGCACCTGTGAACACCACCTCTTCTGTCTTCCCTAGTATTGGGGAATAAAACCAGTGCTGATTTTAGCTACACTAAGTGTTGTTCAAGCACAGGGACTTTTGATAACGAAGCAGCATGAGGAGTCGCTGCTGTGATGCTATCAGGGACCTCAGCTCTGGTATCCCCATCAGCAGCACCACACGCTGGAGTGTGCTGTATCCGGAACCCCAACTGCAGTCCTGAGCCCTGCACATAAATAGTTATCTTCTATGGGATTAAGACAAAAAATAAAGAAAAATCATGTGATGTGATGGACTGTGAGGTTTCTGAAACATTAAAACCTTCACAGATGACAGAGACCTCAGAAATGGAAGTGTCATCCAAACGTAAAAATTAGAGGCAGCAATACTTTGTGCTAATTAAACTTTCACTGACACAGCATTATTTTTCATAAATTGCCTATTTTTCTTGTACCCCTTCAACTTTGGCAGGTGAAACACCTGTAATTAGCCTCAGCATTGAACAAAACCATAATATTGTTCTGTCTGCTGAAACCGAGCCAGAAGAACGGCTGTACAGGATTTACTTGGCAACAGATTTAGCTCTCCTGGCAGAACAGCTTCAAAAGGGCAGTGGGGGATATTTTACTTCATCTTCGGATTACGTGTCCGTACTCAAGTCAGGCCTGCTGCAGTTTTAGGAAGCTTAAGGCTATTGCTTTGTTTAGGTGTTGGTTTTGCCACTGTCACAACTGTCAGCAGCGTCACAAGCTGAGGCCAGGACTGCTCTTTTGACATTCCCTTTGGGGTCTTGCGTCACTCCCCTCATAGGAGTTAATTAGAAAAACACCTCCGTGGTCTGAAACAAGTGTGAACTCTTATTGACAGCAGGTGTACAGAAGAGCTCAAGCAAAAGCAAACGGAAATCAGCTGTGATCAATCTAACAGAACATGAAATTAAACTCTCAGCAATAATTCTTCAGCTGGATGTTGTGTGACTGCAGCACTCATACAGAATATGCCATGTAAACACAGTCATGCAGTTAGTTTGATACCTCACTCTATCCCGTGACGCTCAGATGTTCAGTGCCTGAATACACACCAGGTCCACCAGTCACCTTGTTAAGCTGGACTTTTCTAAACTCAGTTGCCATAAATTTCCTGTGCTAAAATCCTTATTTGGACAACAGCAGGAACAGCTGCCATTTACGGAGATACTTTACACAGCAAAACACAGTGAGAACGGCCAACTGATTCCTCGAGTCCCAGGCTGGCAGACCCAGGAGATGCCTCCTGGAGCAGAGCCGGTCTGTGTCAGCCAGGCCCTACTGCCCGAGCCTCTGCTGGGGGGACGTAGGGGACACGGTGCAGTAAGAGGCACCAGGAACAGGCGCTGGCTGCTCCCCGCAGCCCAGGCCTGGCACTGGTGACAACATTAACCACGGAGCACACACTTACTTGTATTTGGTTGCCTGGGTTGCTACTGTGACCGAGAAGCCAAGAATCCCAGAAGTATTCCTGCAGGTAGGGTACACGTGGTAGCTTAAAAAAATAAATAAGAGGGGGGAGGGGAGAACAATAAAGTCATTCCACAAGGACAATTAACTTTTCATTTACAGAACAAGTGTTCAAGGCCAGGTTGGATGAGGCTTTGGGCAACCTGGTGTAGTGGAGGATTTCTCTGCCCATGGCAGGGGGGTTGGAACTTGATGATCTTTAAGGTCCCTTCCAACCTTAACCATTCTATGATTCTATGAACATGCTACAAGTTAAAATAATGTTGGTATTTTAGAAAGAAAAATCTCAGATACAAATTCTCAATAGTCTCCCTTATTTCCTGCATCACTCCACTTCAGGTTTTCTCATTTTCAAGAAATCCTTTTCAGCTTGTCAGTCTCTGTGTTTGTGTTCCCACAGACTAATTCACCAGTGACAGACCTATAGCTGTGAAAAGCTTGTTCCAGTTTCCCGAGGTAGAAGGGTGCCTCTGAGGGAGGCTGCTAGTCACCACAGAGCCGCTGTGAAAACAGCCCTGAGGAACAGGGAGCTGATTCAGGCAGTAGAAGGAACAACTTTATGCTGAATAATTCTGAGTTAACACACTGGTAATAGATGCAATTCTTACAGGAGTCAAAAGCAACTTGGCTGTTCTTGGTTTTGATGTGTTTATGTTGCTGTTTCCATTACAAGAATTGAGGAATTAGCCACTGTGCTGGAAGGGTTTCCAGAGTAAAAATACGAGGGAACAGCAAAAGCAGGTGTGTAGGAGCTGTCCTCCACAGCGAACTCACCCGAGGGTCTGCTTGGTTCTCAGGAAGTCAAAGCAAGGCTCTTCCATGTGCATCTGAAATGGAGCACAAGTGCGTTACAGCAGAAGCGACGCTCCTCTGCAGCCACCCCTCGGGCTCCATACGGACACATGACCACAACATGTGAAAACAACTGAAGTTCTGCCTCTCCAGCTACACCCACTGAATTACGAGAGGTCTCGATCTTCTGAGTCAGGAGCTCAGAGAACAGTCTTCCACACTGTCCGTCACTGCAGCAGCTGGGGGATCCTGTCCCAAACACTCACAACTTTATTCGGAGTGAGCAATAGGTATCTGCTGTCCCCTCTGTACCACTTAGCCCCATGGCCTTATCTCAGTTCCAAGCGCTGTTTTCAGGGAGGACACTTTGGGGAGTTAGGAGACACAAGCACTAACTTACCACAAGCAGCTCCATAAGGGTGTATTCCCTTAGGTTCCTGGCACCTGACTAGAAAGAAAATGAAGAATTTAGGGTGATTTCATGGAGTTAAATGCTATAGTTCAGACCAAGGTGACAGTTGTGGCACACACCTCAGCCTGGATTGCAGCCCTGCATTACAATTCATTGGGAAGTTCTTGTTTTCCACAGGGGCCTCAATACAGCCTTTGGAAGCGAGGGGAGGGGCTCAGCCCCGGACCATGAGATGAGGGGTGAGTACACCAGGAAATCACCTCGGCACAAACTCAGCTACTAGCACGGGCCAGGAGGGGAAGATGCTGGTTTAGGGAACACCAGACACTCTGAGAGCCCACTTGGGTTTAGCCTCTCGGGCCAAGGGCATGTGCATACATGAGGTTTCAGTGCACTCTGTCATGTCCCTCTGCAGAGCCCGCTCTCCAGGCTGGGACATCAGCACAGCTGCAGCACGAGCAGCTACCAGAGGGAACAGACCAGTACACACCAAGCTAACGTGTTACCTGGTAATAGACTGTCACGTCAGAGTTGGCATCACCTTTGTTGAGAGTTTTCACCTTGCAGAGCAGATGTGTATTTGGTAAATCCACCACCCGGAATTGAACAGGGCAGGGATGGGCCAGGGGAGCGAACTGGAGTTTTCTGAAGGGAGCACAGACCGCACAGCGTCAAACGCCCGCTCACATCTTAGCCAAAACCAATACAACACCCAGCCCTTTACACACTCGGTCTGACGTTATTTTTCCCTTCCCCAAACCAGAACAATGTTCTGCTTGAACGGCCACCTCCCGCAAACACCAGGAGCCCTGTATCCAGGAGGGGAGAAGGGAATTTCTGCACTGCTCCCACCCTGCCCCCTTCCTCCAGCAAAGAATCTTAACTCGATTACAGTTTCTGCATAATGAGTGGTGCGAGAGTCAAGAGATACTCACTGAACAACGTAATTCAGAAAATCCTTTGCTTCCTGGGAGAGAAAGCAAGAAAATGAGTTTTATTTAGGAGAGAATTATTAGCCCAATTCTCAGCCACAGGCCACAGTGCATCCCTTGAGAAAGCGTCCCCCCAAGCAAAGAACAGCCGAGCTCTGCCGCACCACCCGTGTCCCTGCCTCCTCGCCTTATCCCAAGCCCCCGACACCTCCGCACCACGCTGCAACGCACACGGCCTCCAGGCAGTTTCCTGCACTGTAATTTCTCCACAAGGAGAATGCAGAAGACAGAGACATAGCGTCAGGCATCACTACAGCAATGGGTGCACACAGGAGGAGATAAAGCCCCACTCCTGTGCTTGAAGTTGGAGCTCAGGGGAGGAAACCCTTGGGCTTAAGTGGAAGAAATGGGAGAAATAAGAGAAACAGTAAAACTGATGCGGGGGTTAGAGTTGCGCGTGCCACTGTGAAAGGAGCTTCGTTCACACAGAGGCTGCAGCAATAAAAGCATTTTGAATGAATGTTCTTAGCTAATCATGATTAGATCCTCAGACCTCCTCCTGTTCCACCGCTCAGGAGGGGACAGCTGACATTACATGAACCTGACCTCCCAAAGGACATTAACACATTTTCTTTAGGAGGCTTTCAACAGCTTGAGGACAAGCACCGCCAGCTAAGACAAACTTCTTGGCACAAATCGTAACTGCAGGTTTCTCTCCCATGCCACACATGGACACTCAGTGACGCTGGATACATGGAGATAAGCCCCATTACAACCCGATTTTAAAAAGCCTGAGAGGACTGTGTGTGTGTGACCTAGTCCCAGGGCAGACGACTTCAATGAATAGTGCAGGTGTTTAACTGAAGACTAAAGATGACTGGACCTCACTGAGGTTTGATCAAACCAAGTAGGCAATCAAATTTCCAGGATAAATGTACTCTGAGGGAAACCTCCTCTGTGGCACCACCACAGCAATTTCTCAATATCAAATATATCAATAGAGCAAAAAATATTAAAAACAGAGGCAGCAGAGGCAACAGGCTGCAGGTGTATTTCCACTACATTTTCCCCTCTCTGCAGTTTAAATCAAAATTCCTGAAAAAAAACCCAAAAACAACCCTCTGTTCCGACTCGGCAACTATGGGCTCCCCAGAGGCTTATCCAGAGGAGCACTCCGGAGGTGTTGGGAGATGAAGCTGTCCTGTACCAGCAAGCCTCCAGATTGCCAGTACAGAAGAGGCAGTTAGCTGACAGGTGAGTGCTGGAGTTGTGGCAACTGCGTAAAAGCACATTTTAAGAACCAGTTTCAGTGCATGTCAGCTGCTGAAGCTGTACTTACTCTGCTCGTGAAGTTTCCTTGCACAAGACCCTCTACAAAGAGCTGTGATTTGAAAGCCTTAACAAAGGACGAGAGTGACTCAATGGAAAGGCCGTTCATCAGTGTCTGGTATTTATCTATCATGGACCACCTGCCGTGTTCTAAAATCAGGAGCCGCACATCCCTGCAATGCAAGAAGGAAAACAAAACCACAGGCCATCGAGAGCTGTTTAACGTAAGAGATCCCACGTCTGACTCGGCACCGTACTGGAGACAGGGAGACGCTCCCCAGGAGCGTTGCTGTGGGCTGATCCTGCCCTCCCTCAGCACCTGCTGTTGGCCACAGGTGGCTTCAGAACAGCAGTTACTGGGATGTCCAATCTGACTCACACGTTTGACATGCTGGTTGCAGAGCTGCTTGAGCTCTAAGCCACAAACTAACCCTGGAACCAGCCTCCGTGAGCACAGAGCAGCAATTCCTGAGCTCTTCAGCTCAACCTCAGCACTTACTGTGCAGCCACTTTTCGCCCTCCCCCAGAACTCACTTGGCCAGAGTCTCAGGTTTGATGAGGATGTTGAAGTATGTTTTCTTCAGCTGCTCTGTTATCATTTCAAAAACTGCTGGAGTAAAGCTGAAGTCAGACAAGTAATCAATGATGAGCTGAAACAAAAGCTGTAACGAAAACAGTTTTAAGTCTTTTTAAAAAAACAAAACAAAACAAAACTCATTTAAACTTAATCCTATATAGTAATTAAAAAACCACAATCATTTGGTCAACATGAGACACAGTGTTACTAAAGCACATTCCTCAGTTCTGTCAGACATTCTTCACTAAACAATTCTATACCAAATTACAGTCAGTTTCAAAACGACTGGATTTTTAGAAAGTGAATGAAATAAGCTCAATATCCCAAATCAACAGGAGTTTCCACATTCTACTGAAACAAACCTAGCCTGTAACTCCAACATTTCTGTATTAGATATTCCAGTTTCCCCTTTTACAGCTGACCAGCACAGTGGCATCACAACAGAGCAACATTCATGATTAAAAAAGAATATTCAGACCGTGCCATTTGCATCTCTGGCTTTTCCTGTTAAACCTCACATTAATAAGTCTGACAGATGATTGACAGTCAAGCTCCTGCAATGAAAGTCTGAGGAAGCCTGGTGGCTCCCTCCTCTTCCATCTCTACGTCCCCTGTTTGTGCTTGCCGTGTCTTACAGGGCCAGCGTTTAGAGAACGGGAACAGAGATCCCTCAATCCTCCTAACGTAAGCTCTTAGCAACCCAACAAAGAAAAACTGCACCCAGAATTAGTATGTTCAGAAGCTGCATCTCCAAAGTCAAACTGTAAATAAAACCTATTTTCAGACACAGTTAGTCTTAACGGAGACACAGCTTTTAATTAAAGGGAGATTTCTCTTAAGTCAGGCTAAGGTCAGTAATTTGAGCTTATTTAAGTGAATAAAATGACATCTTTATACACGTAAGCACATGAAAAGCATTTCATGCACTATCATGTATCTGAACAGAGACACGAATTTTCCAATTTAAAGTAACCCATATAAAAATGCCAAGCTCCAGCCAGCTAGGCTCCAGCTGCTAGGAGAATAAGCACATACGCTGAAAAGCAGCAAGCATGAAAGTATTTAGAATATCAGCAGCACTTACAGGTAGTTTATGATTGAATCCTTTCACTCGAATGACTAAGCCATGCTCTCCAGCTACCAACTTGTATTCCAACTGGGCAACGTCTGCTTCATAAGCTGGTTCACCAAGATTGTGGGCAAGGATGTTTACAAATGTATCAAACAAAACTATGCTGGATGGAGAAAAGGGCAGAGTTAAAGAAAAAAAGGAAGGAATAGAAGAACTATTAGAAACTATTAGAACTAATAGAAGAAATCAGGCTACACAATGTGGAAATTGCAGTCGATAAAAATCAAGCTCAATGAGTTTGATGGTACACACAAGAAGTTCTCCAACAGAAATGAATACTTGAGTAAAATGAGATTCAAAAAGAAATTTTCGACAAACCTGGCAATACAGAATGCAAGTTTCCCTTTGTCCAGAAAGCACTTGACATTACTTAAAAATTATTTTGACATTCAACTATTCTTTGCAATGAATGAGATTCCAGATTCACATGATTTAAGATTTCTGTGAAGTAGGAATGCACATTGTAACATGCCAACACTCAAAACATTGAAAAATCACTTTGTGTAAAGGAATGGGGGATGGATGGACTCGGTTATGCTGAAGACTTGAGTAGTGAGATGATTATTTATCTATCAAGATAAAAAAATAAGCTACAGCAAATCAGGCTACACAATGTGGAAATTGCAGTCTGTGCTTTCAGATTTTTGTTATTGCCTGGATTCCAGTTCAAAGTTCAAACTAACAAAGCCCTGATGAAAACAGATTTATAAAGACTTTCCCAAAACGTTACTTGTGCAGGTCTCAGGCTTATGATAAAACTATGGAATTTGTTGGAAATGGCAATGCTGGCCTGAGACCAGCAGAAGTGCAGAGCTATCATCCTGAGGTCTA